GTGCTCTGATAGCCATTTCTATCCAGCTGGGTCATACTGCACTCTGGCCAGCACAAGGGCCTTAACAGCACCTCACACTAAACTCAGAATCCAAGGTAAAACTCTCCACACCACTCGTGTCAAACTCGAGGCCTGCGAGAACGTAAACGGTCTGATTTGTCATATAATAAGTGAAACAGGCACACTGACACAATCTGCTAGTATATTTTCCATATTTAATGCCTTAATACAGCGCTAAGTCTGCTAAAATTAGCCTTCAACTCTTAATGTGGTTATCTCAAATTTATCATGTTAAATTTGCATATAATTTCGGCTTATTTGCTCGTAAATAAGCCGATATTTTGACACTCACATATTGAACAAATGCTCCCTTCGTGGGTCGCTCAAAAATTCCACTCAACTGCTGTCATTTACATGATACAATCCTGCATCGTGCATTTAATTTTGGCTATAGATGAGTGATCGTCTCTTTCTGTAAGATTTCTGCTGGCTCTTAGAAATCTTCAGTTTGAAAGGTAAAATAAAATAAGTAAATGAACAAATAGATTACAAAAATCAACGTAACTTACTTAAAACGCAGCAAATATCGTTTAACCAATCAGTATTTGCCTTCCACAAACGTCTGTTTAACCACAAATGTTAACTTTTGGCCCACAGTGACCATGCCGGGACATTAGTTGGCGCTGTGGTCTTGTATCTTCGGTTACGCGCATGCTTGCTACCGCGGGTTGCACTTCCTGTGTAGCTAACGTTTAGCTAACCAGTCATGGAGGTGACAAAGGGTGGATTTCTGTTGGTTTTGTGGAGAGAAATTGACGTATTTTGACAGCAATGGGAGCAGACAGGAGTAGGAACCGACCAATAACCGAAAATGAAACAAAAACAAACAAAAAAAACCACGGGCGCAGCTATTTTGTAGTTTTCTTTCAGTAAACCTTCACTTTAACAGAAGTCAAAAGAACTACATTGCCCATAAGTCACCTGTTCCACCCGTAGCTTTTCACCGAGAGGGTGGGAGGAGCAGCAAAGTCTCCGTCAAAGAAACCAAATGGCTGAAATAGTTTGTAATGCAAGGTAAGAAGTAACTGTTTGTTTATTAAACTCACAGAACAGGCAGGAAAGTGTCAAATAACCCTGAACTTCATGAGAGTTGTGTAACTTGGTGCTGTGCTGCTTTAAACGTCTTAGCTGCAGCTGTGGGGAGTCGAACTTTGTTTACCGTCGGTAAATAAACTCAAACAGCACATTGTTCTCCACCTTGTCCCTTTTAATTTAAAAATTATGCTCTGCTTTTTTATGTGGGTTTTTAGGTTAAAATCTTCATTATCTGTTGCTGTTTGTAATGTTAAAAAACAATTGAACTTTACATGTTTAAAGTGCACGCATTCTCCAGTAAAAATATTCCTATTTTTATATTGTGATGTCCTACTTGATACTAGAATGGAGGAAAACGTGAATAACCATCACTTTATTGAGTAAATAGTTACTGTAGGCTGTAACCATGTCAGTATAACAACAAACTCATTATTGAAAGCATTCTCCGGTAAAAATATCCCAGTTTTTATATGAAAGACTGGTTACATATATATTATAATAATTGTTTGTTTTAGATTTAAGATATGATGTGTACAATTATGTTGTTGTGTTAAATTTTAGAGTTGATTTTTCTCAGTTCATTTCTTTACACCAGGGGCAATTCTAGAAGCCCGTTTTAGGGGGCTTAGCCCCCCAATGTTGACAATGGCTCTTGGCTTGAACAGCACAGTGGGTATTAGAATTATTGTAGGGGGGACATATTGGTGCGAGGTCTGTGAGTCCTCCCCCATAACTTTTTGAATAAAGTAGCTGCTATTTCCTGCATTATGGTGTATTCTAACAGGTTTTAAAACATCTATGTTTACCTACATAAGTAAATACTTGATTCAATAACTGTTTTAGAAAGCATGGCACAAGAAGTAGCACTAAGCTTTTTGTTTCTTTAATTTAATTTAATTTTTCTACCTAACACAGGAAGCTGTTAGCTCTGGAAGCAAACTGTTAAACAGCTTTGGACACAAAGACCCTTGTCACACACTTCAAAAGAGCAGGTAAGATACATAAAATCTTGTAATCTCTGCCTGGTGAGGCTGATTAAATAATTGTAAAATATGATAAGTGAAATAAATAAAGAAAATTGAGCTACTGTAATTTATATTTCCAAATGTCACATTTTCTTGACTTAATTTCAATTGTAAATCTCTTGTTTTTGATAAAATATTTTTTTCCAAAAGAAAGGCCAACAGATTTTAATTTGTAGTCACTGTAACCCTATTTTGACTTGTGCACTGTCTTCTTTCACTTTTAGGTTACACAAGGCTCTGGACCTGGTCAAGGCACTGGTCAAGCTGTGGAGAGATGAGGTGGAACACCAGACCTGCAATGGTCCAGTCTGTAAATGATGCTCTGAAGTCTGGTAAGATGCACGACATCCTGCTTCACCCAAACAAGCTCTTACCTCAACCACATAGACTGAACTTCTTGAGGACGTCGTCCAATATATAATTATGCCTTTAAACATTTCTATTTGTTGAGTTCTCTGCTTGGTACATTATTTTTCTTTTTTTGTTTGTTTGTTTGTTTAAACAATTTAAAACATGACAGTAATGTCACTGTTTAAAGGAAACAATTGCTCAATAAATTAGTAAAATGCAACTTGTTACGTTTGGATTCTTTCATCTAAGGTAGACATGGTGTGACTCATGTACTGGTTTTGATTTTTTGTTTTTACTGTCACTGACCTTCAAAAGAGCTAGAAACAGGGACTCAGCTGATCCTCCATAGAAAAATTATATGGACTACAGGCCATGTATTATTTGTATTATTTTTGGCAAACTTCTCTGCGTGTTTTGCCCATTGCATCAGAGTGGACATTGGACAGGTGTCCACTTCAATGCAATGTTTTTTTAACCCAACTTGTGATTTCCGGTCTAAAGGCCTGCAGTAGGCTATACTTAAGTTGTTGTTGATAAGCAGAGTCTGGGGTTTCATCATAATCAATTCCACTGTAGATTTTAAATTGTTGTCCATAACGCAGCTTCAGTTGTTCAACATCCTCCCCTGCCTTTTGTTTTACTCCGGACAGGGTACCATAGTCTGCCCGTCTTTTATCTTCTGTTAGTTCGGAGGGGTCTATTTTGCTTAACATTCCTCCCATTGTTATTGGTTATTTAAAGTGAGGAAGAAGGGGGAAAAATGTATGTATTCAGTATGGTTGTTCTTTATTAATATAGAGTTGTGGGTGGCACCAACAGAAAATGCCTCGAGGGCTCCCCAAAGAACCAGGCTTCTAGGCTAACCAGAAGGGTTAATCCGGGTTCCTGCTTAGGGTGCTAATCCCGAGAGTGAAGGGATTTTAGATTCAAATGAACCACCACGGGCTACACGGTGGCGCAACTGGTAGAGCTGCTGCCTCTCAGCGAGCAGGTCCCTGGTTCAAACCCCGGTCCAGGGGCCTTTCTGGGTGGAGTTTGCATGTTCTCTCCGTGCATGCGTGGGTTTTCTCCGGGTACTCCGGTTTCCTCCCACAGTCCAAAAACATGCATGTTAGGCTGATTGGTAACTCTAAATTGTCCCTAGGTGTGAGTGAGAGAGTGAATGGTTGTTTGTCTCGTTTGTCTCTATGTGGCCCTGTGATGGACTTGCGACCCGTCCAGGGTGTACCCCGCCCCTCGCACAGTGATTGCTGGACATGGGCACCAGCGACCCCCGTGACCCAAAATGGAATAAGCGGGTAAAGAAAATGGATGGATGGATGGATGAACCACCACGCCTAAAAAAAAATTCTAATGAAGATTTTTGTGTAAAATCGCCTCAATCTTTGCATTGTCATCGTTGGGTATCCAGATATCAGCAATATTTACTCACAAATCTTCCATCCATTCACAATAAAACACGCATTCGCACAGCGAACATTAAAACGATCGTTTAAAAACTGCACTTGTGTTCGTTCACAGCCTCACCAAATATTCATTAAGGTCTCGGTGCACGTCTCACTGTTTAAACAGGTCTCGACTTGTTACACCTAACTTTTAAGGTCTCAGTTGTATGCACAAACCAGCCTCACTTCAAACAAGGTGTTGGTCGGTTTAAACAAACAATCTCACTTTTTTAATAAGATCTCGATTGTATGGACAAAACAGTCTCACTTTTAACAAGGTCTCAGCTGTTTTGTGCAAACAACCTCACTTTTTTACTTTACTGGGTCTCGGCTTAAACTCTTTTCTCTTTTTCACTTTGCTCTCATTGCAAAGAAAATCTCTTTTTCACTTTGCTCTCATAAAAAAAAAATCTCATACTCGCCTTTCTGCCTTGTGTGAGAGATGGGCCGGATCTCCGTCGGTCTGTTCGTCGATGCCTCGAGTCGAACCTATTGCACGCTGGCCTGTGACACTGTGCGAGGGTCGAGGTACACCCTGGACGGGTCGCAAGTTCATCACAGGGCCACATAGAGACAAACGAGACAAACAACCATTCACACTCTCACTCACACAGTTTGTGTAGGGACAATTTAGAGTTACCAATCAGCCTAACATGTATGTTTTTGGTCTGTGGGAGGAAACCGGAGTACCAGGAGAAAACCCACGCATGCACAGAGAGAACATGCAAACTCCACCCAGAAAGGCCCCCGGACCGGAATTTGAACCAGGGACCTGCTCGTTGAGCCGCAGCAGCTCTACCATTTGCACCACCGTACTGCCCTTCGTTAAATTCAAAAGGGTGATATTAAAAAAAAATAATTTGTCACAAGTGGTCCTTTGTTCAGGACAGAATAACTTGAGCATTTATTGAGCATGTATCAGGAAAACTTGAAATTTAGTTTTTCGGCCTTTAAAATTGTTCTTTTGTGCAATTTATGTTGGTATTATGCAGACATAATATGGTAATTGTGAGTGTAAAATTGTGTTTCTGTGTGTGTGTGTGTGTGTTGAAGTAACATTGTCCTTAATGTTCATGTGTTTCAGTGGTTCCTGCTTCTGTTTAGATATGATTAAAAGAAGAAGCTCCTCAAGACTGAAGGCCTGATGTGGACCAGCAGGACCCAGAGCCTCTTATTATAGAGTGGAAGAAAAGACCCTTAGACCAGTCTGGTGGGAGACCAACTCAATATGGAGGAGACCAATATCAGGTTTTTGGTCACTACAGTTTCTTTAAAGAGCGAGGACGATAAAAGACAACTTACCAAGAACCCAGATTTAAAGACTCACAAAGACAGTTCCAGCTCTTCAAAGACTGACGTTAATGAGGACGATGAAGAGGAGGCTGAAATGACCGATCCTGACTCTCTGCTAAAGAACTCATCAGACTCTGAATCAGAACGTGAAGACAGTATGAAAGACTGGAAGGAGAGCAGGGCTCCTGAATCAGAGGTAAAAACTGTCAACAAATCTTTGAGCTGCTCTGAGTGTGGTAAGCAGTATGTCAGTAACCGGACTCTTCAAAGACACATGACAAGTCATCCAGGAGTGAAGTCTTCAAGTTGTCTGCTTAATAAGAAATGTGTTGGAGAGAAGAAAAATACAGAGTCACGTAGGAAAGTCCAGGCAAGACCAAAATCAATAAGTTGTGATGACTGTGGTAAAAGATTTACTTTCAAATCACAAATAAACAGACACATGAGAGTCCACACAGGAGACAAGCCATTTCCTTGTGAACTTTGTGGACAAAGGTTTAGTCTGAAGACAAATTTAAACTCTCACATGAGAGTCCACACAGGAGACAAGCCGTTTCCTTGTGAACTTTGTGGACAAAGATTTAGTCAGAAGGCAACTTTAAACTCACACATGAGAGTCCACACAGGAGACAAGTTGTTTCCTTGTGAACTTTGTGGACAAAGATTTAGTCATAAGACAAGTTTAAACAGTCACATGAGAGTCCACACAGGAGACAAGCCATTTCCTTGTCAACTTTGTGGACAAAGATTTAGTCATAAGACAAATTTAGACACACAC